AATCTTTAGCTCATGCATGCGTACAAGACATCACATCACTGTGAAAAGCCGACTTCCTACGTTAGCAGTTCACCGAAGTCGTCCCCCCTCCTACCTTCCAGCAAAAAATTCGTACATTTCTTTAACGAGCCCATACGTAAGATTTAGGCCGGCATTAACGATTTTAAAATGTTCCCGAAATTTCATCCTCTCAGCTTCCCTTCTCAGCTAGTCGAGAATGGGTGACAAAGTTCAGTCGCTTTTCCAAACATATATAGCTTTTCGACAATATCCGTTCCCGCATTTACATTATATGCAAAACTGCATAAAAAGCATATGGCGGCAATCAGCTAACAACTTGCATCGAAAAAGCAAAATGTGTGCCGACTATAAAAGTTCACAGACCTCATAAGTATATAAATCACAATTTTTATTCCCCCGTGCTCGAAGCGTTTTTTTCTCTCTTTTTTTTTGCACAGAGAGCAATAAAAGAGGACGAAAAAAAAAATGTATGTAAAAAATTGATATGTTTGAAAGTGACAAGAAGTAAACAACTATTCAATCAGAGAGGAGAAAAAAAGAGGAGTTTTGAAGGAATTGTTGGGTAAAAGGGCAAAATGCTGACGGAAATGGCTGTAGGGACGACAAGCAGAAAAAAAAAATTTAATTTCGAAGATGGAAATAGAAAAGAATTTTAATTTTCTGCGGAATTTTTTTGGGAAAATCACAGTTTTTTTAACATTTGAATTAAAAATCCCCGAACAATTTGCTTTTGAAATTCGCCGAAGGGTGAGAAGGGAGGGGGAAGCGGAGGAGATGGATGTTTGTAGGAAGAAGACATCAGCGGGAAAATTATTGCCTTGTTGACCTGGAAATCTACTCGAAGATGCGCGCACAACGTGTCAAGCACTAGATGTTTTTACAGCCCAAAAAACGGCGTTCCGAGAACATCTAGGACGCACAAGCAATCGCAATAACTGTCAAAACGTTGAATCCTCAAACATGCAAGCACCTAATTTCTGTGTAATTTCATGCTTAGTGTTTTACGCTACTGGTTCCTTTGTTGCCAAAAAACCGGATTAACCAACGTATAAGACTAAGAAATACATAGATTTTCAAAGGACCGGCAACTTCTTGCCCGCCTGAACTTTCCTTCCTCCCCCTCCCTCTCTCCTTACTCCTGCCATTCCCTCAAGTCAAGTAGGCACACATCAAATCTCAAGCAATTGTCAAAACAGCAATTAAATAACCCTTCAAACAAAATGAAAACGCTATTAAGAGTAGCTGTATTTGAACAGAAAGACAGGGAAAAGCGTTTGAAATGATAGTTCTTGAAGAGAGCAATTGTACATGCGTGCTTCAGATTATGGTTCAATTTATGGTAACTAGTTTATTCACACGCTCACATACACATACCATATACACACACACATACACAAATACACAAACACACATAAACACATGTACACATATACACACAAATACACACACATACACATGCAAATACACACGCAAGTACACATACACACACAAATACACAAGTACACATACACACACAAATACACAAGTACACATACACACACAAACACACAAGTACACATACGCGCACAAATACACATACACAAACACACAAGTACACATACACACAAATACACACACATAGACACACAAATAAACGTACACATACACATACACACAAGTACACATACACAAAACCACACAAGTACACATACACAAACACGCAAGTGCACATACACATACATACACATACACACACACACACACACAAACACAAGTGCACATACACAAATACGTAAGTACAAATGCACAAACATAATCGTACCTCCATACATGAAATAGCACAACCCCCTCCGACGGCATGAAATCCCACTGCACTTATGGGAAGAAACAAACTACTTCACTCATTAGCAGATACCAAAAAATTGACACCGAAGAAGCTTTTCATCGAATTTTATAAAAAAATATAAAAGATTTTGTAAAAAATCCCATCCCAGTCCCCATCTTTGCCAGATCACATGTTTTAGACTGAATTGTTGTCGTTGTTATGTGATGGAAGATTTTACGGAAATTCCCAGGGATGTAAACAACTTTTTCTAGCAAACAACAAATATTTGCGCACATGTGAATCTACAAATCAAAATGTCCCAGCTAGATGCCATCAATGCTTGTTGCCAGAAAATCATCGGGCAAGGAAGATTCCCCCTCAAAACATCACAAAACATGAGTAAACAAGCACTGCAAATTACGGATGTTATTGCACTACTTGCCCCTCCACTCAATACACCCCCAGGCCACCTTTGATCCTATAACTGATATGATTTGATCCTACAACTGATGTGATTAAATTCATTAAACACAAAGTATCTGCAACAAGAAACAAAGCAACCACGCCCCAACTGTCACAAGAATCAGAAGAAACAAGGGGCACCTCAACAAAACACGCACACACTTTTGTAAAATTTTATATGCCGCCTTAGATCAAACAATATTTTAAGATGTTACGATAATCCGGAAAAGAGCGCCTAAAATACTTCTCCGAATGCGGCACTCAGAGACACATGAAGGCCGAATTTAAATCTGCGGGATCATACGTGAGCGGGGAACGCTGTCTCAAAATTTTAGCTTCTTAGCTTTCGTGATTCTCGAGTCGAAAATGACAACTGTAGCACTTGGACATACACTTGATTACACCAACACACACACACACACGCACAGAGACAAAAGCGTGATAATATGCGTTCACAATTCGCAAA